ATAAAACTGTCTGACTTAAAACAGCGTTATCAGCATACTTTTGGATGTGCGCCGGGGGTGGGACCGAAAGATCACTAATAAAGGCAGTAAAAGATGTGGTGATAGCACATTGAAGAATACCAGGTTATTGCGAGGGAACATTATATCCTCTTCAATTTAGGGTTTAACCCTCATACGTTTTATTATTCAGCGGTTCCTAACGAAGCATGCCAAAGCTGTGGAGCTAGTTAAACAAAACCCCTGCTCCACTTTCGAGCCTTCACAGTCTTTGTGAATAGGGATTTTCTAATGGTTACTGACAGGGTTGAGAGGCAGTGCATGTTAATTAATTCGTAGTTTAACATTTGTTTTACGCAATAAATGTGACCAGAGCGGGTGAATCTCCAATCTTGGATGAGTGTCTATTTTTTATATGGTTTGTTCTTCCACCAACTACAAGTTAGTTTCTCTGTAGATGCGAAATTGTTTGTTTCGTTGTAATGTTCAAAAATGGATTTTTTTCTCGTGTAGAACTGAACTGTTTTGCGAAACAACAAACGTTGGAAAGTGACTACTGAGTTTGCGATCTCTGTATCAGTTAGCACACTGATCCGGACTATAGATTCCAGGTTTCTCTGGTTTCACTGGTTTGCAGCAAATTTTCCTGCTCTGTTGTAAGCCACTTTCTATGAAATGAGAACTGTGATTTGGAGTGAACATTCTTCAGACTTCACCTCCACGCACAACTTTCAAAGCTCACCACGTAACGAAACACTCGGGAATCACCGGCCGATCGGTAATGCATATCCACAGTCTCGTTTGGGCTTCGGTATCCGGACCCATAGCCTGCGAGGCGTATGCCTTACCACTGAGCGAAACATGAGTCTAACGTTTGTCGAATGTGTGGTTGTCTGNCGAGGAATTTTGAAGGTTAAATCTGATCAATGGCCAATTCAAATTTATTTCCGTTATTTCATATCCCTATCCACGAGAAAGCGAAAAATTGAACGTGAATAGAGAATGAGTTAGACGAAGTATTGACGATATTTGTAATGTGATTTAAATTATGATCGATTGTGGTTTAACGTGCATCCAGCTGTATGGG